ACAATTTTCAAGAGCCACAATTCTTCTTGCCAGCTGTCAATCTTCAACGAGTATTCGCAATATAATGTCCAACCATCTCGCATTTTTCCGATCGAAAGTACACGGCACAACCGAATGAGGGAATTTAACGCGCGGTCGTATATCAGATTAAAAATCGATTAGCCATCGTAATGAATATTTTTGTAACATGGAGCGTATTTGTCAGCGATCGCAGGCATAAATCTACGGGTTTTTACGATTTGCAGACGAAAGAAGAATTTTCGTCTGCAGCCACGGCGGCATAATCTTGTAACATGCTACGCAAAACCATCAGGTCTTTATTGTCGCGTACACATACCGGGTAAAATATGTAAGTCGTTACAACGACCGCAGCATAATAAAGCAGGATATTTTCTACACGTCAAAGCTGTAAATGTTGTACGTGCTTGTTTAAATTAGAGTTTAACAAAGAATTTATGTGGCCAATAAAGTTCCCCTTCGTCGAAATCAATATTGTCGTTCTGTTTTCAGTTACCATTCATCTGTTCCGATTCTTATGAAAAATTGACAGGTTGAAAGAACAGTGTCGAGAATCGTCGGTCTATTGAGCAATTTTTCAAAATTGTCCAATCTCTTCGCGATGTTGTTATTAATAATTATTGTTAAATTAAACGACAACGGATAGAATACACTTGACTTTTATAATCTTTCAACCCTTCTACACTAATTGATATAGTTTCTATAGTAATCAATTTAGTAATTCAACTGATAAAATAATTGATTTAAACGTTAATCGAGCCGCTAAAACAAATAATTTAATCTTCAAATGGCAATCACAGATCAACTGAATAAAAATTTCATCGTCAGTCGCTATTAACGGGAAAACATTTCGATCGAAACCACCGATTATTCATTGATTAAATGTATCACTGTGGCCTTCATTTCTCATAAAATATTCTCCATATCTCTTCATAATTCTTTATTAATTTATCTTAAATTTTCCAACAAAAATTTGAAGCTAATTGAAAAAAAAAAAAAAATAAATTCTTAGGTACTTATGTTAGAAACTGACTAACAATATTTTATTATTTCACTTCTTTTTAATTTTAAAATTTTAACAACATTCGGTACACTATATTATTACAATATATATCCTTTACATCAATGTATATCCTTCTACTTATTCACTTATAAGAAATTGTTACCATCAAATAGTATGACTCTCAATATCAAACAACTTTAATTGAATACATTTTTTTTTCTCTACTCTCGACAACGACCGAGGAATTTAAATATTTACGTGTCTCGCCCCCATGTACATGTGATAACACAGTGTATAGATCTACTTTTCACAGTGTATAGATCAGACTGATAGAAATAAAAGAGACTCATGGTTCAAGATATTCGATCGAACTGTAAAGATATCGCGACAGGGAGGGTTTACTTCTGCTTTCTGCAGCTGACGGCGTCAATGTTATCGGACAGGTCTTGAATTTAACGACGGTCGTAAACGCGGTTTGCTTTATAATTCGCGGTATTTTTTTTTTCCTCTCATTTCCTCGTGCCTCACTTCCTCTGTCTGTCCTCTTTTATTCTTTTCTTTCCATCCATCATCGCCAAGTCGTAAGCGATGACGCACGTATCCTTGGTAAATCCTGACTTATTTTACTCCGAAAACTGCAATAAACTAACAGAGTTTACGCGACAAACACACAGCAGAAACGTAGAAATCATCTCGCAAATCACGGAACGAGTAGCAATGATCTTAGCTAAAGTCCGCGGATTTCTTCCGCGAAGTCGTAAATGCCTCGAACCAGTGTGTCGCAAAAAATTGAGGAGTTCTTCTAAGTGCCAAATAGTGTAAAAATAATGTAAGGTGCCAAATATCAAAATTTTCAGTAAGAAGAAGAAAGTTAACCAAGTTTGAACAATTTAAAAGCTTGATTTTATGGAATAGGAATTCAAATGCATCAAAAGATTATTTATTATTAAGAAAAATTCCATCTGTAGAAAATACTTTATGTTTTATTACTACCTCTCTTATGGTAGAGAACTTCGATGTGTTGATATAAATATCGTAACTGCTAGTCAAGTTTATTTCTAGATTATTTAATTTCGTAAAAAAACCAAAAATGTTTCTTTTTATTATGTTTTTTAACAATATATTTACATTTGTACTTACAGTATTTTCTCCAATTATCTCTCTGTTTGATATTATTCTTTGCCTGTTATTAACATTTTATTATAAAAATTTCTTAAAAGTTTTCGTTCTAATATTTTTGCAAAAGATTGCATATTTATAACAATTTATTCTGTATCATTTGTAAAAAGTTAATAGGTTAAACAAACGAAACAAACTGCCTCGTAACTAACATTTCCATGGAGGAACAAACAAAAGTTTGCTCTGAATTCGATATTATCGACGGATATATGAAAAAAAACCTACTTTTATTTTTTAATTGCGTCTTTATATCTCCGCATTTTTTACATTTATCGACCCTATTTTGTTCTGATCCCCGTTTGAAACAAAGCATCAATGTCATATATAAACGAGACGAGGTTGACCCGTCGTAGCTCCCTGTGAAATCTTTTCGGTGAAATAAAGTTGTTAAAGCTTTCGAGCTTGGCCACCGTCCAGGAATACTCTAGTGGACGTGATTCACCGTTTCTATGGCGAACACAACTTTCTCATGATACTTTTTGCTATTTCACAGTAGCACAATCTAAAACTGAATTAATAACTTTTTCACATCCGACAATTGAAAAATATTTCTGCCTGCGTTTCTCTCGAAGTGAACAGAGTTGAATCAAGCTCCACTTTCAATAAAAACAAAAGTGGATAAGACAATCATATCTATATAATATATAATTATACTATATATAATATCTATAATTATACTTACACATAATAAAGCATACGCTCTGCTTTTGACGATGACACAAGATTTGGATTAATGTAAGAATTACTGAATAAACTGCGGACACTCATGTAGATTCGCGTATTCAAAAATTTAATTAAAAACCTCATAGAGTCAAACTTAGTTCAATATTCGCAATTAAGAGTATTATACCTGTACCGTTAGTATTGTATTTATACTTTCAAATTTCCCATAAATGCACAAATGCTCGCAATTTAATCAGTAACTGATACGCTCCCACCCCATCTCGTGCACCATGAACATTCCTGCGATATGCATTCATGAAAGAAGAACGATCAACGAAGAATCCCAGGAAAGTGGGGATGATTACCCAAAGAAGGGTAGCCAAGAACACTCGTAAATTTGATTCTTTATTGTGTTGTCATCGTTAAAAGCGAGACCGCATCAGTAGGTTCCCGCGTATGGCAGAGGTTCATTTAGAGCGGTCGCTTTGATGAAGTTGGTCACGGATCAGGAATCGTGCCAGCCCGAAAATCTTTCGCTACAAACGAACACGATCCAGACATGCACGATTTCCTCAGGGTCCGGTTTTATTTCATTCTTTTCACGATCGTTTTACCTCGGGTCTTGATAAAATCCGATTACGCGACGCTATTTTCGTTGAATTTAAACAAGAAACAGAATCCGAAAAAAAGTTCGATTTCCTTTTTGTGGTGTATTAATTTAACTCTGTATTAAATGCAGTTAGCAATTGAATTCCGTGCGTGTGTGTAATTTTATCGTTATTTCATTATTTTCTTATTATTATTACATTCAATTTTGTTAACGTATCAATTATTATACACCGTATTATTGTACTTTACTACCAGCGTTGAATTATTTATTCAAGATAATTATTACTTCGAATTATTTAAATTGAAAAATATTTGATTAACCTTACAACCTTCTCGAAAATAGTTGAAATTGTGCAGAGGGAGAGATTTTTCTTGTGTTGTTTCTTTGTGTTTTGATGAAATATCTTATTTTCAATAAATTTTTAACGCATCTCAATATAACAAAATCTTAAATTTTAAAAAATAATATATATAGCTTCACGTTATGGAAATATTCACGTTAAATCAAGAACTTTCTCTATTTCTGATATTAAAAAAAAGGTTTATGATTTTTGTCTTAAGTCTTAAACGCATCAAGTATAATGTACAAACTAGACTATAATATTCTAGATAGAATAGAATTTATCGAAATTCAAAAGATGTAATGAAACAAAATTAAATTAAAGGAACACGTGAGGGAGTTTTATAGACGATCGTGAAAATTGTTAGTTGAAAGTTAGTAAGTTCTATATACGATTGAACGTAAAATCAGGAAGAAGAAGCAGAAAGAAACGGAAGAAGGAAACATAAAGGGACCGAGAAATACTTTGCTGGTCTAAGCGATGCAGTCTGACTGGCTCTCGAATGAAAGGGCAGTTTAGAATCGGTTTTATGTGTGCCGGATTTGCGATTATGACTTTGACTTCGAACGTTCCAAACGAAAGAGGGGTATTAGAGAGAATAAAGTAAGAGCAAGACGAACAACGTTTTACATTCTAATAAAAAAAAAAAAAACTAATCCCGCTTCAGGTTTCCGCCGGAAATTCGTATTACTTTCATTCTTTAGGTTCTGCCACCGTTTGACAACCCTCTCCGACGATGATTTCATCGATGCAATTTATTTAAGATTTTCAATTCAGTTGCAATACACATATATATTTCATTTCCAAATGAAAAGATTATCGATATAACCATGACAATTGCGTTCTACGGCAATTAATAAACTTTCAGAAAATATAATATATTTGTGAAAGATGCAACGAGTATTCATATAAAAAATACTTTACTGTCTCGTAATTAAATTTTAAAAATTTTAAAATTTTAAATTTTACACAAAAATAAGGAAATATCTAATACAGAGTGATGCGTAAATGGACAATGTAGTACTGTGTACATACGTATAAAATAAGGAATATATCGCTACGTTATTTAGTAACCAAAACAAATTTCCATTCAAATTCCAGTTTTTTTTCCTTTCCTCTTTTGAAAAATATAAAATATGAACATTTCCTGTCTAGATGTTGAAGTTAAATCGGACGGGGAAACTCACCGAGGCTACGTAGAATGTTGTGGAGGACCATCTGGGCTGGACGGTATTCTAGTACCTGGTATATGAGCATTCTCAGGCTGCAAAAACGGCCTGTAGTGGACAGGATTCGGAGGTGGTACAACCCCTATGTAGGGCACATGACCCTCGTAAGTTGGCGGTCCTGTTGGCAGTCCCGTGGGTGCAGCGCATGCCGCGGTGCAACGATACGGTCGACTAGGTTGAGTCATTCTCACCGTCTTCAAGAAGTGCATATTCCGAATTTCGTTGCTGGCTGTTAAAAAAAAGAAAGAAAGAAAACACCAATATTAAACCCTATATGATAATTATTTAATCCTACTATACTTTCTGGACTATTTTTAATCGCAAACATATTACGAAAAAAATAGTAGGAAAAATATGAATAAATAATCGGTAATATTTGTTTTGCGACGAAGTTTCCTTTCTTTTTATTAAATAATAAAATTGCATTTGTTCGTTTTGGAACGAGTGTGAAATTAAGGTTACTTTAAATTCATAGCAAGATTAAAGAGAAAGTAGAAGCGATACCAAGTTACGTAGAAATTATGTAATGTATAATTTCATGAATATGTTTATTGGACAATAATAATACTTTTAGAGTTATTGTTAAAAAAAAAAACAATCATTAATCTGATTAATAATCTAAAAATTATTATCAACAAATCTACTACTTAATAAGAATATAGTAAAATATTTAATAAGAATATAGTAAAAATTACTAACTAAACATAATAAAATTAATAATAAGAATATAGTAAAAATTACTAATTAAACATAAATTTATTTTACTTCCGTACAACTTTGTACTTATTTTTTATTTCCTTTATACACTAGATAATTTTAATAAAAATTATTTCCACTTTTTTCAAAGGTAGAAAGTAATTTTATAGCCAATAAAACATTTGATATTGTTTAATGCAACAGTTTAATTTTATTGATACGTTTTAGCAAAACCTCGATTTTGAGAGGAGATAGTTGTTCTTATGTAACTTTCTCATTGACATTATAAATTATATACTAATAGCAAATACTACTATACTACATAAAGTAACCAAATCATAACGATGTATGACAATCTTTCTCTGTTCAGCGATACGTATCCTTGCGTTTCCTTCCACTTAACCTCTCGTTATCATCATTTACTTCATCTATAATTATAAATGTAATGGAAAGTACGTAATAAATTTCATTCGATGGCCAATGAGGCTCGTAATAAGGAAGAGTTACTTTGCCCAAATATGGAGGGAAAAGAGTGTCTTTATTTCCTGATATTTACTAGGCAGCTGTGCAAAATTCCAATAGAATGCAATATTTTAAAAGAATAACCAATATATTCATTGCAAGATAAAATATTAGTGGTTACTGTATTAATTATGTTTAAAATATTTGCCCAACGGTTTACTAACTTCTACGTCTTACTTTTATTCAACTTACACAACTGGCAACTTAAAATTTACGAAGCAATTTATATTGATTGTCAAATTTATTCCTGAAGCAAAGAAATACTCTGTATCCCACATTCTACACTTTGTAACTTGTTTCCTAGGTTCCTAATGACTATGGCCATTTTCTACACTTTATATGTTCAGGATGAGAAAATAATGTTCACAATAAATCACATCTCGCAAAGTTGAAGAAATTACAGACTCACAGTCAGATCCACAGTCTACTAGATTTCTAAACACCTCTCACAATCGAATTAAAATCTTATTCTCTAACATAACGAAGAATAATCTAAAGAGCTAAAAAAATAAATAGCTAATAATAAATAAAAAGTACGAAGTACCAATGCCATTTTCTCCGTGTCCATCATTCTCCGAGCACCAAACACGTCGACTGAGTGAAAATCCTTCAACAATTCTGTTACTCGAATATCAAACAGGCGATCGATGTTGTCACATGTGCTATGCGTGTGCCTGCACGTGTTGCCGATAAAATGGCCAAAACAATGAGGGAACGAAATCGACGTGAAAACGGGTGGGAGGAACGTTCATCAGTCCGCTTTTCATAAATCAAGCTGTTCTCCGGACAATGGAATTTAGGCAAGGAGAGACGATCCGAAAGGGGATTCTAAGAACGGAGCACCCTGAATTCAGACGAGTTATAGCCAATAGGAATTCACCCATTCATGCATCAAGATGGCCGAACCCTCGAGGCGTGGTTTTCACAACGGGCAACATACACAGAGAAGGACCTTTGGAGGACCCTGTATCACCCTACGGTGGAGGCGCAACACAACCACAATGCCAATTTGCTCTCCCAGTTTTGCGCTCCCATCGTTTAACTGCCGTCATCTCGTTTTAATTGTTGCCACTAGCGCGTCAGCCGTGTTAATTAACACCGTCCTCACGCTTCTACTGTTTGACGGCTCGTTCCGACGTGAGAATCAACGATAAGGGGTAAACGCATCTATGAAGGATCCTTTAGACTTTAGACGAAGTTTCATTTGAACTTGCAACTTGTGACAAAAATTCTTTATGACGCTGGAAAAGACGTTTACAGGCCATTGGCTCGTGCTTTGGTTTTGGTAACAATTTGGTAATTTTCATTACTATTAATTTGACTAATTTACAACTGCCTGATAAATTGTCAGCTATTTACTTGTCGATTATAACAACCTCGTTCCGTGTCTCCAATTTCGTCTGATGGAATTAAAATATTTAATCGATATTCAACACTGATAGATACAAACTATAGTGCACGGTTACCTGATTCTTTTGTTAATGGAACGAACGATTGGACGCGCAATTATTCGCCGCTTTAATCACGCCAGCAGATAGATCGTAACAAGTACCGAGCATTTGCAAAAGATGAAAAACATTGAGCACGATGTGGTCGAATATCGGAGGTGTTTCTTTATTTTGTATTTCTCAAGGTCCTGCGGTTAGCGGTGGACCTCAAGCTTCCTGTCAGATTTCAACATTTCTGGGTGGATTACGATGCTTCGGTGAAATCGATCGAATCAATTCTTTTTGTTGATCATTAAATTTTAGGTTGAGACCCGAAACTCGTGTTAACATCGCCGCGAACGATTTTCTCCCTCTGCTTTTTACTTTGTTACAAAAATTTTTCTCCAAAGGATATTGGCTCTTTACACGGTATAGAGAATTTCGTTGGCTCGATTCTTCGCTTTTTAATTTTACATCGACTGACTTCTATCAAGTTTGTATAACAAATGCAAGAACTAAGATAAACGAATAGTTGGTGAACAGTAAACCAAGCAAAATTTCTAAATATTTCATTTATTTACTGTTGCAATTTCTTTGCAATTTACAGACTTTCGAACGCTTTTCTTTATTTTGAATGTGATTCGTGATCGTCGTAAACCATAAAATCGACATGCAACTGTCATATAGATAGTAAAGTGAAAAAAATCGATTCCAATTATAATTGCACCTGACATGGGTACAGTAATAAGAATTGCAAATATCCATGGTAATTATACTCGGCATATTTATTTATCAAAGACTTCCTCCAAAGCCATTAACCAAAAATATTCTGTTATTTTACTTTGCATTGTAACTGGCTTTACAATATATGCACTTAAGATATTAAATTAAGATACTGGCCGTGCATGTTAACGTGCATTTTACGAGTAAAGAAATTTACACTTCAAATGTATCATCCAGCGTACGATATGTATCTTCGAATCGAAAGAATATAGCGCTCTGTAATTATTGTTTCGAAAAAGATTATTCGTCAACTAACATGGACTAAAATGTAAATTGGAATCCAACCGAGATAGCGTGGCAAATGCAATTGGTATTAAAAATTGTGTGGAATTTATTGCGAAAAGAGAAAGCTGAAAATCTTTGATTATTCATTTCACAAATCCATTTATAATCATTAACTCTGGCAATAAATGCGTTCCACTTATTCTATCTTTTTCTTTTTCTTTTTCTTTTTTTTTTTTTTAATAACTCAAATTATACTTTATCATCCATTACGTTCGGTGGTCACTCTAAAAGTGAAGAAAATTGTAAAAATCAGAATAAAAATTAATATCAAAGCACCTGTCATTAATATTACTGTGATTTATGCTTAATGCAAATACATGGCAGAACAATTAACCTTTATGATGTAATACCTCGCGGTATGAACATGAAAAGAACATAAATAATAAATTATTCAAGTAAATAATCACGAAGGGTACATTATAAAATTTATCGTAACAATAAAAATTCTTTCTTAAATTAATTCCATAAATTGTTACTGATTCTGTCGATCATTTTGGGTCCGGCAATGTATTTTTTAACGAGAACAAATAACGTCTGTTCGAATAAAATACGTATAACTGAAGTTTCGTTGGTAAGTATGCATAATTTCTCGTGTCAATTTTAAATAATTTAATAATTTTTATATTAATTTTTATATTAATTTTTCCCTTCACTGCAAGCACGAAGACTGCATTAATTCTAATAGATAATGAGTTTTACACAAATTTCGCAATTGCAGAGAATTTTTTCGTTTGTACAATTTGTACGTATGCACGCTTTTTATTCCAGTTGAATCAAATTGTCGAGCAATTGCAGAAACTTTCACCGACCTTATTATTGCTTCCGTAAACATTGAAACAGAAACGGAATCGAAGTGATACCAACGACATCGTAACTGCGACGTTTGGTCAGAATAATTGATGTCATTAAGTTTTCCCTCGTAAACCCTGTTGTTCTTAATAAGATAATCAATGAATATTAACGCAAATTATATTTGGGACGAAAGTGACATAAATCCAAAAAGTACGTCTTCCAGAAGAAGCAGAAAATCATTTCTGAAGATAATTTCCACACGCCTTAATTCGCAACAATCGTCAAGACACAACTGACGATAAGACATATTTATAAAACTTGTGTTGTCTTTCATGGTCTATATTTTACGGTGATGGAAAATTTTCCAATTTCTTTCCTTTTGCAAAAATTGTTCACCATCGCAATGGTACGAAGCATAAAAGGACAATGTGATTTCTAATTCAATTTTTTTTCTATATCTTAAATACAATTTCACAGGCATTCGCGATAGTACGACAAATTAATATCTCTTTAAAGAGACGTTTTCACCCCTAGAATTGGTTTTCAGCAAAGAAAAGAAACATTGCATTATCATTATCATGGAGAAACTATATTTACGCAAAGTAAATTTTCCAATTTTTTTCAATTTTTCATTTGTCAAACTTCCCTCGTAAGAATAACAAAATTCCATTTCGTCGGTGAAGAGGGTTCAAGATAAAGGTTCGTTTTTCTCTTGCTCGTCCTC